ATTATAAAATCGGTAAAACGAGTCTTTTTTAACGCAGAATAATAACCAAATTTCTTATCAAAAACTAAATCTTCAATTCAAATGCAATCAATAGATCACTAAATCAACCGAATTGATGGCAAAAACTTTCTGTAATTATGAAAAGAGAAAAAAGAAATTCAAAAAATAATAATCAAACGTCTGTTCAAATAACAAAAAGGTTTTCAACAATTTAATAATCACTATAAATAACAACAAACTATTCATTTTGGGGTCATATTTCTGACATTAATCGCACAAAAATCGCTCAAAGACTGTAATAAATTAGTCGCACATATCTGTGACCAGAGATTAAGCTATTCCATGGGACAGGTATGTGTGTGTGTTTGTGTGGACTGTGGACAGGAGTTCTGCAGTGGAGGGGATCAGGAGGGCGGCACAAACGTGATGGGTATCAAAATGGGGACCATATGACAGTCGCCGGCATTACCTTTCTTGGCGTTCACGCCGTTGGCGTCGACTGTGACACAGGCGGCCGCGCTCTCCGCCACGACGTTCAGTGTATTGGTGTTGGAATTGGCGGCGGAGGCGGCGCCCACCACAGCGGCCGACGCCGAGTGCAGTATTTGCGCCCCGTTTTTGCCACGATTTGTCGAGTCTATGATCTCTCGTATCTTGTACTCGCGATAGTGTAGGCGCTGCTCCAGTAGCGTACCGGGCGGTGCCTGTTCTGACAGCAACTTTTGCTGGTAATGGAGCCACAGCTCCTGTTGCTTCTGATAGCCCTGCAGTTCCTCTAATGTCTTCTGGAGAGTACTGTTTGAGACAATTATCCAAAGGATAAGTAATCATTTGAATTATGTGTTAAGTGTGTGTTTGAGGGTATGGTATGTCTAATACTGACTCGTGCTGTGCTTTCAGCGCCTTTTCCACTCTGTTATGACAGAGAACGGCGTATTTGCGAAGCTTTGCCTCCTCGAAGTCCGGATCCAATTTCAACACATTATCAAAACAAATGACTGATTTGTTATAGTCTGCCATCACCTGAGATATCGTACGATAACATACAGTCAATCCATTAGTAATATAAAACATCGCATATATGAGTCATTTATGCGACAAAAAAAACTAATTAATGGCTTAATTTCAAACAAAAAACATATCTATTAAACTTATTTTTAGATTTCCAATCAATAATCATTGCAGATATTAAACAAAAATAAAACCTACTCATATAATCACCAGATATTGGGAATCAGATATCAGACTATGTAAATGGATATCAAATAAAAGCATTTAAAAATAAATTGAAATAAAAAGTCAATTATAAAAAACTATTATTTCCTAATCCTGACTACCCTTTGGGAAAGTCATTCAAAATCAATAAAAAGCACTAAAAAAGGCATTCAATTACTGCATAGATATTGCCGAGTGTGTAGTGAGAGATCGTGGTGTCCGGCGCCACGTCGATGGCCGCATGGATCACAATCGCCGCCTCTTCTGAGCTCTTACTCCGGTGCAGGACATTACCCAACGATACGAGAGGTATGTGCCGGTACTGGTAGGGTGTGAGGTGTATCGCACGGCGCAGGCATTCTATGGATTCGCCGGCATTCCCGACGGCCCGCCAGTAAAACGAGGCCATCGTGTATAAGAGCCACGAACTCGAGTTCTGTTTGGTTTTGTTGACACAGACATCACACCATATGATTAGTACATTTGTATGCGTTAATAGATTATCAAATTATATATAAACACATATTTTGTCGATTCAATCAAATGTTTGAACAAATATTGACACAAAACACAAGAGATATGTATAACTATTTCGAAATTCTGTACTAAACATTAAATCAATGTTGAGTTCAAAACAGTCATTAAATCCTATTATTCATTGAATAAACACTTGAGACAAATGTTTTGTCCACGAAATAGGAGATGTTATATGCTTTAAACACTTTGTACAAAATAATAAAGACATCAATATTTTATTCATTCATTAGAGAGAGAGAGAGAGAGAGAGAGAGAGAGAGCTCTTAAAGAAATTAATTACTTGTTTGAGTGCTTCATAGACAGCATCTCCATAGTCTTCAATGTCCTCTAAATTGGTAATCGTTGTGTGGATTTCACTTTCGGGGTCTATATGTAGAGACTTTCGGTCGCGAACGGACTGTTAATCATAAATATATCATTAATAACAGTAAGACAAATGTAGGAAATGGATGCAAAAGTACCGGCAAGTGCTCGAACGACGACATACTGAAATCCATTGGCATTATTTGACTACAGTTTGGCTCATGTTTTTCAGGCCGAGAATCTATTGCTACTACTTTTACAAAATTATTTCCACTGCAAAATAATAATAAATACAAATTAAAATTAATAAACATTTTTGAATTACAAAATATAAGAAATTAAAATTACTTTAGTCCCTCGACTGTATTGTCGTTATTATTATTTTTATTATTATTTAGATTATAATAGTTGACAACATTGTCATCATTTGGTATATAAAAAAGCATTGAACCGACGTATAGATCAAACTGCGTTAACGGCTTCCCGGCCTCCGCACAGTTAGTGTTTGTCGCGTAAACCAATTGCTCGACATCTTCTTCGGTCTCATCTGTCGATACAAACAAATCATTTCACGTTTACAATCATAAATATATACACAAAACGTATCAAATGTGATATAAACTCAATATAACTGAACAAAAGCTCAAAGTCACAAATGCTAATAATATATCAAATTCTGTAAAATCATTACAAATTAAACACAATCTATATCTAATCGACAAAACGGTTATCAATGACACAAAAAAGTGTTCAGAAATAGTCAGCAAAAAACTTTTTCATTACTAATACTCGCTTAACATAAATCACTAAAAATACAACTAATGATAGAAATAAAGCGCAAACCGTTGTTGGCGTTGGAGTCGCTTTCGATCTCCTCTTTCTGTTGGATCAGTTGGTTCTTAATGGTGGCCAACATGTCGGCCCTCTTCTCCTGATGCAAGAGTGACATCAGATCGTAGGGACGCCTCAATTGATACACCGAATCATCCTATCAGTCAATAAGAGACACAGAATTTCACAGAATAAGCGTTAATTCATTTGACAAATAATCGCTTAAATATGATAATCAAGAGATAGGGATAGGAATAGACAGGAAATGGATTGCATTTCACTGTTTCTAAACTATCGATAACATTGTATAACATTTCTACTAAAACTCTATTATCACTCAAAAGCAATTGAAAAAGCATTAAATACTGATTTTAAGTCAAACACCGGAATAAATAAATATTTCAAAATAAATGTCAAACTAGAAAACTGTTGGCAAAACTAATTCAATAAAACAATTAAAAACTCTTTGATTAGAAATTATGCGACAAATCGTAACCAATTAATGAGATAACAAGTGATTAGATCTAAACGCGTGATAATTGTCTACAAGAGCTATGGGTTACTAAGAGAGGCAGTGGTTTCATGAGATAATGAGAGGCAAAGTGATGTCACGAGTGGTGCGATCAGTACTTGTGTCTGAAGTTTGCCGTCTTCGGTGACCACCCAATGTGTGGCCGCTTTGGAGGCGTGAAATACGATCAACAGATACCACAGTACGAGTCGATTGAAGCCACAGATCCGGTGACACTCTCGAGTCTTCGCGGTGGCCGTCATTGCGTTCATCTCATCAATAGCTACACATGTGGTGACTATCACGGAGCGACTGATCCCTACCACACAAACACACACTTATGGCCCACAAACAGGTGATAGTGTTGTGGACACAGATATAATGCACTTATTGTTAAGGTTCTTGTGGTGCACTAGTCATCGATACGCACATCTCACGCGTGGTAACTATCATTCAACGCACGGATCAAACAATTGGTGATATATATGAAGAGTGAGTCAACAAATGTCTGCAAAATAGGCACAAAAATAATGGTCAAAAACATGTCAACAAATGGTGAGACAAATACTGACCGCAAATACAGACAACAAAACTGTGGTTAGCGTCGTCTCCGGGGATAGACTTGTAGCTCAACTGATCCCTGAATATATGGCTCACTCGTTGGTGGTAACTCGTGATAGGTCTGCGACAGTGAATCCAATGGTGATCGCGAGTAATGTATAGATGAAGTGAAGTGAACACAAATCGTGTCTATTATTAGTGTAGTGTTAGTGATAGACAACAACACATTACACACCAATGCTGTGCACACTCTCTGGCCGTAAGTCTAACTGTATTTCACTCGCGAGAGAGTTGTGTGTTGTTGTCATTTGCGCATCAGTGCTAACCCGCACTCACCGATAGTCCCAAACTTTTATCGACTATGAGTTCTATTTAGTATTGTGTCATAAATAGTACTAAATTGAGTTCAATTCGAGCGACTGTTATATAAATCAGTTATCGGTGTTTGCAGTGATGACTGGCTTTTAATACAGTGTGTTATCTCATAATCTGATGACTGCACTGTACTTATGAGTTATACAACTAATACGTTACCCATAAATAGGCATTTGTTTGTGTGAATGGGAGCCCACATGAGCTAACGGCGCAAATGCACCATTCATTTGCTCCGTATAATGATATTTGTCAAACTACTTAATGATCCAGTTCCCCGATAATACCCTTTTTTATAATTAGTGTTTTTTGCCAAAAATCTTTTCATTTGAAATAAACACACGATTAATATCTCGTAATCTCTTGAGAGTGTATTTTTAGAAAGTTTATGAAACTTTTAAACTTTTGTATACAACTTGTTTATTAAGTCACCTTGTTATATAAGTCAGTGTCCAAGTGTTTATTTATTTTAGGATAACTGGA